TGCCTCTTTTCCAAAAATCTTGAAATTTCATGATTTTAAGCTAATTGTAGCAAGTCTGGGCTGTCTTGGATTATTTCCATTAGGATACTATTTGGTAGGTGCTGGCAAAATACCCTAGACTAACTGCCAAACCTGGCTGGCCTGTTGTATGTGTGTTCACACTGTATTATTCAAAGCAAACCAATCCCTTGACACTCCAAACATGCATACTAGTACTAGTATATCAGAGGAAAATTTGTTGATTCATTATATTTTACAGACTTAAAGCCCCAGTCAGGGGCAGATCCAGAGATATTTTCTGACAGTCTTTCAAATGATCTTTGTTGATCAATCCTCCATTTTTTACCATCTTCCGACAGAAAATTTTAGATATCTGTCAATGTAAACTTGAAAATCTGACCGTCTTCTGTAAGACCCAAAAGACGGCCTATATCTGCCCCTGCCAGTACCCCAGCTACCCCCCCCCCCCCCAACTCCACTACCACCACTTCCTATTTTTACCCAGTCTTTCATGATGTCCATCCACATGCCTCTTCAAACATACATGGAAGCTTGATATTATGAGTGGTGCTATCCCTAAAATAGAGTGCTCAGGTTTGACTGGTATGAACTCCGCATTCAGTGTACATGATGGCAAACTAGTGTCACATAGTCCCATGGCGTCAGCTGCAACATTATACGCCCCTTGGTGACTGTTGGTATATAGGTATACACATTAGATCAAAAGAGAGAGAGAGAGACTGCATTTGGATGTGTAACAGCTTTTACTAACAGTACTGTAGCGTCAGAGAGGAAAAAGAATGAGAGGAAGTAATTGTAGATGTTTAGTTTAGTGTTTAGAGTGGACTGTCCAAACACAGGGTTTAGATGCATCTCTCAGGTATAACATGTGCTTTGAACTGCAAGAACATTAGCAATTGAAAGTTTTGATTTAGAAACTTACATATGGAATCATATTAAGAGATCTGTCACCTTTTTTTTTCAAATGACCTTTTCACCTGTTCAGAGCCAAATAATATTTGATATTTTATTAAAGTGATATGGATTTGACTTAAAAGTAATTTAGCTAAAACTATTATGCATTTTGTCTCATTTACCTGAGCTTGGATCCCTAGTCATTCAATTACATTATCATGTGTCTGGCATTAAGGAATTTTCAAGAGTGTATATTAACTGTAACATTTTGTTATTTTCAGAGGCGTTGCTGCAGACCCGTCCCCTCCCAGATGCCCCCTTGTTTGAGGGCAGCCTCAGCTCAAGATGGACGTCAAAAGAAAACTTATTGTCCTTCACACAGGGCGAAGAGGATCCAAACTTATTTGTGGCTCTCTATGATTTCTCAAGTGGTGGGGAGAATCAGTTATCTCTAAGTAAAGGTAAGGAGAATGTTCTCATCATGATTGCAAGGGTCTGGCAGTAATGACAGGTTGCTTTTATGATGCAGTATTTATGCATTTTAATTGAAGAAAAGTTTATAACCTTTTCACTTCAAGTGTTATATCTTAGAATGTGTTCCCATAACCTTATCATACTAGCAGGATCGATCTATCTCATTGGAATTCTCGCTCCTGGATTATATGTATAAATTCAAGTCATCTTGCAATTTCTATGAAAACACCTTTAACATATATACGATAATTACTTAATGATAGTCATTTCCTTATTAGGATCTACACCTCCAGGCAGAATTCTGCACAAATTAATCATTCATATTATATTATGTATTAATAATAATCAGTGTAAACTTAAATGGAAGTTTCTCAATACATTTGGAAGTGTGTCAGATGTGGTAGACACCTGGCTCACACGCTGCTGCAAGGGAGGAGCACAGATACTTTTATACAGAGCAAAGGCCCTGGTCACTACATATACACATTTTTACATGCATAAATTGTGATGCACATTAAAACACAGTTGCAGGGCCTGAGGGGGCTGTAAGAAGGCTCAAGACGTGGATTTTGGATTTATTGTGTTTGTGTATGTGTACTGTGTTTTGTAAGTGGGCCAGGTGAACACAAGGGGAAAGAAGATATTGCTTATGTCTGTAACATTATGCTTTTTATTCTTAGAAATTTCCAGTGGACCAAAAGGAACACAAGGAAAGATTTAAAGAAATAATTATAAAAATAATGAAAAATAGTGAAAAACCTTGCCCTGGTACATTGAGAAGTAAAGATAAACTGTTACCTTTGAAATTTTGGAAAAATACCTCATTATGTTTGTAATACTTTTTATTCTGCTTAATCTGTAATAACTGGCATTGAATGAAAAAAGTCCAAATATGCTGTGTTAAAGAAAAGAGAGAGAGAACTGACCTGACACATTATGAATTTACAATACACACCTACAGCACACTACAGAGTGATGTATCAGTTTGTTGAATCTGACATTATATGAAAGACATTTGATTATTTGCTGATTCCTAAGTTTGCTTTTAAATCATCCATTATATAGCCGAGTAAGAATTTCCAATGCTAGTAGGTTGATACGTTCTATGAAATGATACAATTCTTTGAAAGCTTAAATAAGTTAAATAAGAAATCGGCACATACCAGCTTGTTACTAGTAATCTCTTTAACCTTAGAAAATGAAGGTGTTTCTAATTGATCATTGATAATAACATTTGATTATCATATCACTTATGAAAATCATTGGCTAATATGAAAGAGTCACCAAGGTGAGCATACCAATCAAACCAAAGTTCAGCTGCCTCTCATTATCTTGTCAACACCTTTTTGCTGTTACCTGTGCAATTACTCCCATCACACAATTACATATAGTCAGAGACACCAGGATTATGCAGCATAGGGACCAGAAAGGATGCAGTGGTTAAGAATTGTGAAAAACAACTTGGTGTTTGAACACTGACTTTGTATTGTATGAAAGAAGTGCCAGGGTGATGCAGGAAAGTTAGATTGTGGGAAGTCTGGTTGAAGTTAAAAAGCTTGAACTGAAAGTACATTGTTGTGAATGGGATTTTGAAATACAGAAACTCACTTATGAAAGAATTTTGTGCAGATTTTATCAAAGTTGTTAAGTTTTGATATGACTTAAAAGAAGATTCAAAGGATAGAATTTTTTATCAGAATAGTGCCAAAACTGGTGTCAGATTTTTAAAATGTAAGTAAGCCAGCATTAATGGCCGATGCAGTGTGTGTTAAACTGCAGCCAGGTGAGGAAGGGCACCTGCGTGCTAGACACTACAGCTGGCCAGAGGAAATTATACACAGCAAGACAGGAACAGAGTGTGCAATTAAGTCACCACTTATATTAGAGACCTACTGGAATCGCAGAGATAACACTTGAATTTATGCCTTTCATGCAAGTGGGGGTTGAGCTGGAACACATGGAGCAAGAAAGTTTTGAAATGTTTTGAAGGACCGAGGAAGAATTTGAGATTTTAGATTTATGTGACAGAACATAAGTGCAAATACACAGAAATCATAACTCATAACTGACACGGTTTGGTTCTTAGTACTGCTGAGACATTTTAGATGAATATCTATGGTCATGAGCAGAGTAGAATCTAACTACACATGCTTACTGCTCTCTGTTGGATAGAGTTCCTCTTCCATGAAAACTTTGCTGTGATAGGAGCTAATGCGTGACATATGCCCACCTGGATAGAGATTTAATATATAGGTATACATACATGCACTACTAGTAATTAAGAAATATTTGGTGCTTGCTGATTATATGATGTGCAGGTAGTGCAGATTGTTATTGGCTCATCGTTGACATTACTGGACCATTGCTGTTATTTGTGTACGTAATTTAAGACTGTCATCACCTTGAAGACTCCAGTTTGACCTCAGCAGTGCATTTTAACACAGTTACTGAACTTTCAGGGGCTTTAATTGTCAATTAAGGAGCTAGAGGCTTTAAATGGGGATGGATGATCAAGTGAGTAATGAACTAGGAGATTTTTTTAGTACATGAGTATATGAGCTCTAGGACTTCATATCAAAATCATAACTGGTATCGGTTCTATTCCTCTAACACCCCATTTCCATAGATTAGATCGACCTACTTTGGATCGACCTAACTCCCTGGGGGTTCGCGCTGAATAGCTGTCAGCCGGGCGGACACGAAAGTTAATTGCCCCTTACGGCTTGTAGTGGGCGGGGACAGACACTTAAGGGGGATTATCTGACGGTAGTCTGATGAGACTCCCCGCGGTGATAGATCGATCTAAAGTTGTGGGAATAGACCCTATGTATACGGTACAGATTTATGGAGTGGAATGATTGACTGATTGGCTTGGTGATCCACACCTAATGCAGAGATGGAAGATTAAAGATTGTAATCAAACACAAAGGGTAATTATCTGGCAGGCCCAGCCATACTTCAACATAGTTCAGGAACCTGAACTCTGTGCTGTGGCCTCGGGCAGTGTGAGCTGATGTGGATTTTATGAACTCAGAAACAATAGATTAAAGGTAGCCTGCCTGGGAAGGCAGCTTTGCATATAACTTGGGATATGTTCATACGTGGTGTACCTTTAATATGTGCTGTACATTTAAACCTGTTTGTAGATAGACATATAGCTTTTTCAGGACAGAGACAGTGTTTTGTTCCATATATGTACAGTCTAAAGAACAACACAAAACACTGTCAAAGAGAAAAGCTTTAGTGTATGGCTCCTGGTACTTTAAATGATTTGGTGTGTTGATTACAGAGGGCCAACTTGGTGTCATTGTGTTTTAATTGTAAACACCATGTGACCATATCTCTGTTCAGGGACAGCATTGCTTTGAAGTATTCACTTTGGCAGGTGCTTGCTTAGATCATTACAGTGATATCCGTCAGTGATTAGTGGTCACCAGGGGCTGCAATTAAAACTTTTGTCCAGTATCTTCACAATACTCTGATGCTGTAAGGTAGTGACCACTGCTGGACATTGAGCAAGAAGCCAGTGACAGCTACATAATATACCCGGTAGCTTTCTCAGCAGTACAGGAACATTACAGGGGAAGGGCAGGAAGCCAGTGGCCTAGCTTGACCAGGGAGTGACCACACACGAAATACATGAATCAGGCTGCTGACTATGTTGAGCTCTATATGAGACCAAGAGTGATGCTGGAGCTTAAACAGGATTCGTATTTTTGATCTATTTTTGCTGGTTTGCCATAGCGGGATAGAAGGGAGAAACTGGAAGAGTGGCCAGACTGCAATTAAGATACTTAGTAGTATTTTCAACCAGATATTCACTATTGTGCATCAATGCTGATATGCTGAGGTGGAGGAAAAGTGCCTGAATACTGTCATAGCAGTACCGATATAGAATTATGCAAATTTGGCTGAGTGTGCTAAGTATTTAATCAGACTGCCCATGTTGTAGTAATAATTAACTTGAGGGAAAGCTACAAGAATGGTGATTGAAGATTCAAGGAAATAGTGACCAATCTCATGATAATTTAAACTCGTGTCATGTATAAGATCACGTTAAAGGTGGTGTCACATGTGCATTCACTCCAAACAAGCACATGAATATAGAAGGTGAACTTTGTGACAAGGCATATCACACCGCTGTGAATGAATTCCTAGGATTATCAGTCTGCAGCATGTGTCCCTCACAGTATTTGTGATGTCACAGTCAGGATATTTTCACAAGAGAATTACGCACCTAGCCATGCAAGCATCTACAAAGTGTTGTTCACCCTCTATGTGACCTAGTCAGAGTACTGAGGAACTGTGCCTTAAGGATTTTATAGTTTTTAATCCAGATCCATCAACATATCGAGGTATTTTATTGTGCACCATGGGATCATTTAGTAGAGGTATGTGTGTCTGTGTACAGATGTCTCAGATAGTCCTGGGATTTATTTATACTCTCCGTGTTGTAAATCAGTCATTTTCTTATGTACCATAAAGTTACACCTGCATCTAACGTGATTTTTAAGTTTGCACAATACATACATAATGGCTTAGTAAGCATAGCTATATAAAATGTTTTATTGGATTTTGTTTTGTGGATATGCAAAATTTATGAGTTTGACATCCGTTTCTTCCTGCACATATGGTTGTTATCTGTGACTCTATATGAAACACTACAATGTTGACCCAAGATTTTTTGGAGAAGGTGGGAAGTAAAATTAGCTGAAAACAAAATTCAACACAGCAAAGCATGTCACGGTGTATGGAATTTGGCAATGTAGATTTTTTCAGAAGGTTGAGAATTTGCATAAGTGCCAAGGACTATAAGTATATAGCCTTCCAACATATATCTGCCTGTTTGCAACCAGTGACCAGGTTTCATTTTTACTACATTTTTATACCTAACTTTAAAGTTATTTTATCTTTGATGTCACTCAATTGACACAGTGGTATTGCATACTTTGACTTGCTATAATTTGCAAACAAAATATATTTTTCAAATGGCTTTGCATAAATAATCATGAATATGCTTGCTGTCCCTCTCCCCCACCCCAGCAAAAAAAAAAAAAAAAATGACTGTTTGCTAGGATGTGACATTAGGTGACATTTCATTTTGCCTTTTCCGGAATGCAAAATGTCCAAAACTCATTAAGTGTAGACCATTTAATTAAAAGATGAAGGAAAAGTAACATGTCATGATTTTATATTTATTCAATGTATAAATCAACTTTTGTCACCAGATGCTTCCAACAAACAATCAAATTATATGTTTCATACCCGTTTGTGTTTTGCATTTTTTCTTGTTACTGTTTAAAGTAAGAACAAGAACAAAAATGTAAATGCCAATATGACATACGGACATTGACTTAAAAATGTTCAGATAAATTATTTACATTTTGATGTGTATTGTGTTTCATTGTTTTCTATTTATTTCTGCTCAAGTAGAACAAGTGCAGATTTCCAGACGTGACAGAGACAGAAAATAAAATGACTGGACACCCAGAGAAAATGTGTTTTACCTATTGATAATTCTTCTTCTTCATATTTCCTTAACATCTGTTTTAGGAGAACAAGTGAATATCCTAAATTAAAACTTCTTATTTTTTTGTTTATGTCTATTCCAGGAGAACAAGTGAAGATCCTAAGTTACAACAAAGGGCGAGAATGGTGTGAAGTCCAGAACAAAGCCAATGCCTTGGGCTGGGTGCCCAGCAATTACATCGCCCCTGTCAACAGTTTAGACAAATTTTCCTGGTACCATGGCCCTATATCCAGGAACGCAGCAGAGTATCTACTTAGTAGCGGGATCAACGGGAGTTTCCTTGTGCGCGAGAGTGAAAGTAGTCCGGGCCAGAGGTCCATATCTCTACGTTATGAAGGAAGGGTGTATCATTATAGGATTAGTGAAGACAGCGATTCTAAGGTAAAATTGTGTACACTCAGGAAAAAAGAAATCATTTACTTGCTATATTGGTCCAGTGCAATAAGGCTTAATTGAAAGGTGTAAGATAGACCATACCATGTTTTATGAGAGTCCTGTTATTTTGAAACAACTTACCAGAGCAGAAATGCATAAACTGTGACAAGTTGGCAGATGCTTTATCTGAATTGGAGCATTGATGTGGGAAAATAGTTACAACTAGTATCACCAGTGAAAAACTAATGTAAGCAAGCAAATATTTATCATTTAAAGAAGTTCAGTGACTTAAAGATGTAAATATGTAATGTAATGTAAATACGTCAGGTATTTGATAAGATTACATAGCTTATGTATTTTCATAAGATTGAGTATATCAATATTTACTAATGAATTTAGTCACTCAGTTCACTGTAATGCTTTACCACGTCACCTTTCCAGGTGTATGTCACCCAAGAGCACCGCTTTAACACGCTAGCGGAACTGGTGCATCACCACTCTATGCACTCTGACGGTCTGATCACCACCCTGTTGTACCCAGCCGCTAAGAGAGACAAACCTACAGTATTCGGCCTGAGCCCAGAGCCTGACAGGTGGGAGATAGAGAGAACTGAGATACAGATGAAACACAGACTAGGTAAGGCTTACTGCCCTGATGATTGTTAGGTGATTGTTGTTAAGCTAAATGGTATTATTTACCACAAGTAAAGACGTATGGTAAACCGATATGACTCTCTGGGGTAGCGATAGCAATTTTTTTTCACTTAGCCAAATCATCACTTTTGTGTCAATTTGTTATCCAAATGGCTCAAATGAGTCAAATTAAGCCCTTTTTGTTTAGCCAGTTCACAGCAGTTTTAGCATTTGGCTAAATTGGCGAGTGTTAGCGCTACCCCAGACTCTGTTAGGGGTGTTGGGAAACCCTCTTACTAACAGAATAATTCCTATGCATTTGCAATAAAATTCCAGTTTTTGAAATATTTTTTTCTGTTTTCCTATTTTCTGTTGAGACTCACCAGCGCAGGACTAGACTTACTTTTGGTAGTGTTTGAGTACTGTATCTGACAAAGAGGTGGAAAAATTAAGAATCAGCCAATAGAGATAAGCCAGGGTCCAGATATCAAAAGAGAAAATTGGCCCAATCGGCAAACAAAGAGGATTTGAATGAAAGAAAAAAAGTGATAATTATGAAAATGATAATTAGTAAAGTTAGCTCATCTTTATGATATTTCTGATGTGTATAAAACCATGCTATCTACTTCAGGTGGAGGCCAGTATGGGGATGTATATGAAGGTGTGTGGAAGAAATACGGCAAAATTGTTGCTGTCAAAACATTGAAGGTAAGAAAAAGTAGATATACTGATTGTATACTTATCAAGTTTGCCTTTAACAGAATATATACAATTTTGGATGGCAAATGGTAGTTTGTTGTGGAGAACAGAGCACCATTTTAATTGGGTGAAACATCTGAAATCTATAGAAAGGCTGCAGAATGTATTTGTATTTTAAGTGAGTGGGGTTTTATCTGTGTTTATCAAAATGATTGGAATTTACCATGTAATTAAACCCCTTATCATCTTGGTAATAATATTTGAGTGATATCTTCCAATATTTCATTATAACAATACACTATACTGTAAAACTGTATTTCAAAACAAAGCAATTTACGCTGATTATTTCTTGATATCATGTTACATTTATTTCCATGTAACCTTTTGAAGTTGAACAACTCTGGATGTGAAGATTTGTTTATTCTTTGTTTGTTTCTTATAGGAGGACACCATGGCACTGAAGGATTTCTTGGAAGAAGCAGCCATTATGAAAGAAATGAAACATGAAAATCTTGTCCAGCTCTTAGGTAACATGGCAGCTGTTTTCTATACTTACATTTGAGTGACTTGACAACATTTAATGTGTGCATTGAGGCCACAGCTTCATTGATGCCAGAAAGATATGCAGGGTTTTAATAACCATTCTAATTCCTTTCATTAGTGTATACAAAATCTCCCAGTACCATTACTCCATCTCCAGGAGAACTGCACAGTATCTAAACAATAGCAGGATTTAAAGACCTTTCCTTTATTTTACATTATTGCCAAACCCTACACAGTACACTCTGCATCATTCAGACACCATAGGACCAGGAAATTCCTTTGAGTTACACAGAGATTCAAGTTAGGCAATGTTAAAGTTTATTTCAGTTAATACCCAAGAAAAAAAATCCATGCTGTCAGATTTTTTCAAGATATACAATAATTTGTTTTCTTAAGTTATGAATTATGCTGAGTCTACTCTATATTTCCTTGAATGTACAGAAGAGTAATTATGTTTGTAGAGTATTGAGACATTGCTTACCCTCACTTAGTAATCTAATAAGTGTGCATAAACTTTTGTCACACCCTGTTGCATCTTACCCTTACAGGAGTGTGTACCAGAGAACCCCCATTTTATATCGTCACGGAGTTCATGCCCAATGGAAATCTGCTGGACTTTCTGCGGAACTCCTCTCAGGAGAGCCTGGGACCCACAGTATTACTCTACATGGCAACGCAGATAGCTTCAGGGATGGCTTACCTGGAGGACAAACCTTTTATTCACAGGTGGGTCAGTTTGTTCATTAAGTATGATGTCATGTATGGTGGACACGGGTTTTGCTTTTTGAAGATGAATATTGATGAGTAAATAACATAAAAAATGCAGACACCACTGTTTAGCATTTTGTGTGGTTGATTTGAAATGATATCGAACAGATCATAAAAATTGTTCCTTCTAATATTCAGCTTAACAGTTATTCTTTGTAATGTTATTTATCCAAAGATATTTTAACTGGTTAAACATTCAGTACTATTTATGACTTCTGAATCAGAGACATTACAGTTAATACAGTTTCGAAATAGAGAGCCATCTGTTGACAGAATATAAATCATGTCCTGATGCTGACATCTAGTGCTGATAATTTCAGAGATCTTGCTGCCAGGAACTGTCTTGTTGGTGAAAACCATTTGGTGAAGGTGGCAGACTTTGGACTGGCTCGCCTGATGAAGGATGACACCTACCAGGCCCATGCTGGAGCCAAATTCCCCATCAAGTGGACTGCCCCAGAAGGACTAGCTTATAATACATTCTCCACTAAGTCTGATGTTTGGGGTAAGAAGGAACTTAATTTTTTTTGCAATTTAAGTTTTGGAGATAGTCTTAATGTAATAATGCATCAAAAATTGAAACTGTACTTAACCTGAAAGTTAAAAAAGAGTCTGTTTAGATGTCCCACTCAAATACACATGCAGCTTGACTAAAAATGAACTTGGAGATTAGGCTTAAAATGCAAATTAAAATGTTTTTAAAAAGGAAGTTGGCAAAATAAAGAAAATAAAGGAAAGTGGAAATTGTGACTTCTCCTTGCTCAAAAGTTGCCTCTGTAGTTATTGTGGTATAATATGGCCTACAGTGTGATTTGTGGGAGTTTTTGAAGTTATGAAAATTTCCTGTAAGTATTTTACACTTTATTGGACATTTCTAATCTTACACGAGACAGTGGCATTGTGGGAAAAAAAGTTTGTATAATGTTTGGAACTCATTTCCCCTTTACCTGTCTAGCATGATTTACAAGCCATGCAGTTGCCTTTAAATTGCACTTAGATTTAGTTGGTCAAATTTTGCCTCAATAAAAAAAGGTATCTAGTTTTTGTATGTGTATAATAGAACATGTAACTATATAATGCATACGATTTTACCGTGTCTTACTTTTAGCCTTTGGGGTTTTGCTTTGGGAACTGGCAACGTATGGCATGTCGCCATATCCTGGAGTGGATCTCTCAGAAGTTTACCACCTTTTAGAGCGTGGTTACCGCATGGAGAGACCACAAGGATGTCCGGAGAATATTTACTTACTGATGAGGAAATGTGAGTTCATTGTGTTAGATGTACTGCAATCAGTTGTGAGAGTAGATTCCTAAGAATATTGACTTACCAATGAGGAAATATGAGCACATTTTGTGTGTTTGTGTGTGTGTGTTTATTTGGAATTATTTGTGAGTGCATATAAGTTTGATGTTAAAAGATGTCACAGTTTATCACCAGGTTAAATGCCTTTGCTAAGAAATAAATTATTAGAGCATTTTGGTAGTTCATTAAAACATTGCTTTGCAAGTGCAGTGTTTTCCTGAAGATAACAGCAATTAGCAGTGATTTGGAATATTAGTTTGTAGCTTGGTTTTTTTGTCACCTTGGTGTGTGATTATGGTGGTACACAGTTTAAGAGTCATATGGTAGCTAATGGTGTCATATATATATATTGTATGATTGGAGGCCTTTACAAAATTATTCATCAAGGGTGATATGATTGTCTTGTGATTAGGCTGGCAGTGGGAGGCAAGTGAGCGTCCAACATTCCGTGAAATAAAAGAAGACCTTGACAACATGTTCCAGAATTCCAGCATAGGAGAGGGTATGTATGTTAACAGTGATGTGCTTTTTAATGTTGTCACTTGCTGTTATTTGTTATTTTGTTGTTTTTTTCCAACTTTGAAAGCAATAAGATATCATGTTTTAATTTATTATTAATTTTTATGCTGTAGAGAAAATATGACTGCTGAAGCCCCCCCCCCCCCCCACACACACACACACACACACACAGAACTTAAGTCTGTATGCTCTGTCCTAGCCTGTATTTTCAGAACAATATTTAATTTATACATTTTCAGAGGTGGAAAAAGAGCTAGAGCTTGAGAAGAGTGGAGAGATACAACATCCAAGCATGCCAACACCAACTTTACCAAAAAAGAAAAGATGGCAGAGTGGGGAGAATGCTGATATAGAGAATATGGAAACTGCTTCAAGTAGGCCTCTTTGCACCTTTACTCACCTTTTGAAGGGGGTTTAAATTTTTTCCTAGACTTTTAACTATTTTAACATAATTTCAAATGTCGTATTAGTTGGCACATACGTATTGCCTTGTGTTAAGGGGGTGATCGTTTGTCAAGGGAATTATGATTTTTATTAATTCCCAAGTTGTGAATAAAAAAAGTCTTCTGCACAAAGACTAACTGAGCACCATTTATACTGCAGTTACCAAGTCAAGCGGTGGCAGAAAATTTGGTTTTGAAACAGCAGACACATCCAGCGTTAGTTCGTTCCTTACCAGTGCATTGAGAAACAGTAGTCGACTGAAAAAGGCACCAACTCCTCCAAAACGGACAAGTTCTTTTAGAGACCAGCAGCAACAACAGCAGCAGGAGCGCGATAGAGGTGACAGGGATGGAGTAGCAATTCCAGACACAGTGACTGAAGGAAACGAGGAGAACTTGTCCCCCAGACACACCAGGGCATATCTTGCACAGCAAAAGACATCTGGATCACATGTTGAAAAGATATCGGATACAATAGATAAAGAGTTTGAATTTTTAGACGATTCTGGTCTCTCTATGGGAAGCAAATGTGATAAGGGTTCGCGTCACTCGAGCCCGTTGCTGGACTCGGAACAGGGTCAGGTGCAATCTTCACTAAGTGACAGACTCATGTCCAAGTCATACACTGAAGAAAGCAGCAAGCCAGCGAGACCCTGGATGCTGCCTAAGAAAGACAGGGCACCTGCTGAGTCTAATGGCAATATACCAAATCAGTCTGCACTAACAACCACTGCAACTAGTCAGATTGTGTCCCCAACAGGACAGGCGCCCAAAGTTCCCTTGCCTCTTCCACAGAGGGCACTACAGAGAAAATCACAACAGCTACAGTCACAACCTCTCCAGGCTCAACAAACGCAATCTTCTCAAGAAAGGCGATCTCGCACAGAAGATGACTTGAATTTGAATTCTAAGGGACAGTTAGAAGAGCGCAAGATGGTGGCATTAGACAAAGGGAATGTTGAAAGGGCAATCAGTCGGTATGGAACAATTCCAAAAAGTACTCGTATTGGAGAATATCTAAAGTCTTTAGAACCTAGCACAGGTACTTCAGTTGATAATCAAAAGGAAAATGATAAAAATGACCTCAAAAGTCAATCAGAGAACAAACAGCAGGAGTATAAACAGCAGGGCAGTGTTTCAGACTATAGACAGACAGAAAACAAGCAACGAGTAAATGTACAAGAATTACAAGACCGGTTGAGTGAAAGGAGGGGATCTGATTCAGACAATATCAATTCTGGAATGTCAAGGTCATCCTCAAGTCATGTGATGTCAGGTGGCCAAGACAAGCCAGTTCTTGCTTGGCTCAATAGACAGAAGTCTGATCTAACTGGTTCTCGAAACCAGACAGATATGGCCAATGATGCTGCAAATATAGAGGGCACCACCAGTAGGCCTGTAGTTTTAAGTGGCAAGCCCTCTGCTCCACCCTGGAAAGGAAGGACGCAATCAGAAACTGTACCAGATGATCACTATTTCTCTCGTGCTAACACAGCTAATCACAGTTTTGATAGTGGAGGCCCTGTCCGCATCCCTTGGATGCAGAGACAGAATTCAGATGCTGAAGACAAGTATGCTAAATGGAAACCCAAACCTTCACCCCGCTTTTCTAAAGCAGCAGATGGGGATGAGGCTACACAGCAAGAGAATGGCAGAGCACCATTTCCTGGTCAGTCTCTTCCACCCTATGCACTGGGGAATTCTGAGATTGAATCAAAATCACCGTCACCACCACAGAAGTCTTTGAGTCCTCCTGTGCCTCGTAAGCCTCAGTCGATCCGTGACAGGCTGAGAAAATTTACATCTGGAAAGTCTGAGAGTGGGAGTGAGTCTGAAGAGAAGACTGATCTCAGCACAGGAGGAATGGGGGACAATTTTTCGAGACTACGAGGCTCTCAGAGACTTAAATCTCCACCACCAGGGGATGATGAGTTGGAACTGTCCCAAGAAAGGCCCAGAACCAGAGTGGGTTCCCCACCTATAGCTCCCAAGCCTAGGGTCCCCCCAGGCGGAAAATCTATCTTCCCAGGAGGCAAACCAGTGCTGCCTACCAACAAACCTAAGCTGACCCAATCTTTAGAAAATAGTAAACAGAATTCAGCTGATCCTGAAACTACTACAAAAGAAATAGTCAATGACATGGGGTCCAGCCTGGTCTCAAGCATTGAGAAGTTGTCCACTCTAAGTATGCGTGACCAAGACAGTTTTTCTCAACTGTCAGAGAGGGTGAAATCCTTACATTCCCACTGTAGTAAATTGATAGACACTTTGCCTCCCCATGCTAAGTTTCAAGTACAGGAAATGCTCACAAAATTAGAGACTTTAGGGGAAAAAATGTTAATTGCATCACCAGAGAGAAAAGTACGTGTCTGCAAGGATGTACAAACCACAATTAAGGACATTTCAACCATTATAAATAGGTGAAGTCTGTCCTTGGATCAATTTTACTTTCACTTTCATTTTAGTAATCTAAGAGATTCCTCAGATATCATTGCTTAGACCACACATGTCAGTGACATTGAAGAAGTGGCCCCTCTGTCTTTTGTTGTCAAATATAATTGTAGAAATGTCTATTAACTTATGCTTATTTTAGATGTAAATATGGTGTAGCTTTATTGAATTGGAAAGAAAATATTCATGAGTGAAAGTGTAATTGAATGTGACATTTGTTGAAGAAGAATGAAAGTCAGTCCATGTACGAGTAGGCATGAAGAAGTTGGCACTGTCTCTATGTTGTTCTTTACTATGCTGTCATATACCTTTAACTTCATACAGTCAGTCTTTGTCACCTAACACAATCACTTCTAACATGCCTTGTTCTGTACATATATTTTCTCCTCACGCAAGGATAAGACAACCTTTTGTTAGCTATGCTCCACTTGGTTATACCTCATACTATCACAAGAGGGATAAGGACTTAAGAGCAATTCTGGCACAGAAATAAAGGTAGTCGTTCATCCTTGTTATAATATTTCAAAATTTTCAAAGTTCTGGTCACATGTTTATTATCATGCAGATGTTCCCAAAGGTTTTGTTGACTGATAGGGTAAATTGTTTTCAAGCAAAACAATCTGAAAGTTAAGAGAATGTGGTAACTGCTACAAAAAGGGTGATTTGTAAATTCTCCTTTTTGGCTGAAATGGCTGGTGTTTTAAGATATCACACTAAATTTGATTATCTTTTGAATGTCCAAAGTTGTGCAGTTCCGCACAAGTTTGTTAAAAAAAGTTATTCTATTTCGTTGTCATTTGCATATAATCATTCCTCATTATTTTAATGCCAGTGCGCTTTACTTAATAAATGCATGTGATATCAACATAGAATTTAGCACAAGAAATCGCTGGCTTATATGTGCTTTAATTTCATGTTCTTTGTAATTAGTGTGTGAAGCTGATTCCGTGATAGCTGAAGTGTTGCAAAGCACAACTAGTTAATTAATTTATCAGTATATCTGATTATCAGAATTCCATATCAATCAGTATTAGTAGCTGTGTGGGATGCTGTCTATGTGGTACTTTGCTGTAATGTTTAAGATACCCATATTTGAATGAATGTGCAGTGAATGTAACTTTTTATCATTATGAATTTATTATGTGGTCTGCTGCTACTGTTGATGTATTATATTTCACAGTGGTTGTCCGTTTTACTACAGCTGCTTATTACATTAAAGATTACATTGTTGTTTACTTTGATTGGATTCTACAGGTCATCAGTGCACAATACATTGTATTTAACTAAATTGTTACAGAATTAGTGCTGTTTGTTAGTCAACATGTATTGTCAGGCTGGCTTCAAGTGAACCGAGCATGAGAAGAAATAGTTCTCATGCTGATTACATTAAATAGCTTACACAAAAATTAAACATACATACATATATATATATATATACTCTTGCCAGTTTGCAAAGTTGCACATCCTTATTTAACATCACTTTAGGACTTTGAACCATGTGGTTTTGTTAAAGAATCCTGTAAAGGCTTATGTTTGACAGTTTGATGAAACACTGTTTCCAATATTCCTTGGCCATGCTAATTTCTGTGTGAAATTGCATAACACATGCGTCAAAGCATGAAGTAGCTGTGAGATTATTTTGACATGCCAGTTCTCCTTTACAAAGTGTCTCAGAAAGGGAATGATTCTGTGCAAAAAATAACCATATCAAAGATGAAATAGTTTCATGCTACCTGTAAGCACCCTTCATTTGATATCAGTAATTCAACCAATGCTACCAAATTATATATCATAATCTCGGCTTTGCAAAATTACCACATCAGAAATAGACTGGTGTAATGTCACCCCTTGTAACCAAGATATCTAATTGCTCAATAGAGGCAATGTACCCACGTACTGAAGATTTGATGTGGTTCTACATGCCATTCTGTCAGAGGTCCTCCAAGGCCAGTTTTAGAAAATGAATTTTAGACTGGAAGTTGATACAGACTAAAGTTGTAGTCTAATTCAATTTAGAAAAATACAGTTGTCCACTGTAAACTACTGACCTTAAACAGTTTTTCTGTGTCGTAAATGTGGTTCAATGTATCATTTCAATGCACTGCAGTAGATTTACCTTGGGTCAAAATAGAGTTAATTGTTGATCTAAAGTTCTCTGGGGAAACTGCACCTTGGTGTTCTATGGTCAAAGAGTTTGAACACTATTTTTTAAGTATATGAATGTAGAAATGTTATTGGTCGTCTTTAAAAAAGTGAATATTGTAGACATTTAAAGGCAATTAAGTTCTGTTATTATTTATTTGGAATCCTAAATTAGTTCTAAGATCTGATTGTCTTGCCTAAGAATATGAATTGTGTAGCATGCTTTTCAACACATATAGGGGATTAATTGACACACTGCATGTTTTCAGAATACTCAATATGTTCAAGCTACTTTGATGAGCTGCAGATTTTGATATATAACTTTGTAATTTACTTGTGCAAAACTTTCTGGAGTTATTTTTATATATGTCATAACATTAATTGACAGAGTCTTTCTTTCTTTCTTAATTTTCATTTTTATTCATTTATTTATTTTATTTTTGTCAAATCAAATTTCATCGTAATGGGTATAAGTACTCACACATGCATGGAATATGAGTCATTTTGAGGTCAGCCGCAACAAGCAACTGTTAGTATTCCTACTCGTACATTTTTACAAGTGCTTTTTTCACGATGGGCTTCAACACGTCTCTGTGCAACCAATGTGCAATTGTTAATTAGACAAAGTACTGAACTGTAAATATGGAATAAAAGACGTTCAGATTTTGAAATACAGTTGTGTAGTTTTGGGGTTTTTAGAGACAACACGTGAGCCACCTTTGATAAAAGATTTGACTTAACAGAATTTCCAATACTTCCAGACCATACCGCTTTGTGTATGAAATTACAGAAGACGTACTTCAAATCAGCAAGTCGCTGACGCAGAATAGCGTTAGGGATATAATGGTTTTATGGTATCTGTAATTACACTCGGGAGAAATCTGTTCTGTAACAAATGCTACCGAATCGTGAGCAATCGTGCCTGTCAGCATTATGAAATGGTTTCATGTCACACTTCAGAACGTTTCCTGGTGATTAAAAGCTCCTCCTAATTATCACCTGTTTATCGGCTCTACCGAGAAAGCGAGAGGATGTGTACTTCACAGACAATGACAATAAAATAATGAAAAAGAAGAGCACTCGATGAACAAAAGCCAAACTGTGACATGCACAACATGAGAATATTGTTTTGAAATTGGCACACGATTTGGAAATGCATTGGGATCTGGGCAAAGAATTTGCAACGTATTAAGATACTAGTTTTAATCTACTCTGGTTGTTTGTTAGGAAAGTCTCAGAGAAGGATTTCATCAGCTGTGTTATGGTATAAGAGTTAAGTAATTTTTCTTCAACCAAAAGCTAATATTGACAGCTAATTAAATATAACCTTCAATATATCTCACAGTGACCCAGCTTTATATCAAATAAACTTTGTTATATGAAGAGGCCCTGAGAAACATCGAAATATTGGAAGCAATACTACATGTCAATATTAGCTGTTGATCAAAGAAAAATTACTTTTTTCTCAAGAAAGTCCCGTCTTGACTTGAATAGACCTGCAGTTACGGCAAAAATATATGGAGATCCAATAGCCATGCATTTTGTTTATTACTGCTTGAAGTTGGTAAAGTTGTAGCGTCCTGCTTGTAGATTCGTTCCAAGGGTTTCTAAGCAATAGTTCTTCCCAATGATTCTTACTTATCCATTCACTCATCAGCCAACTCCTGGTTCTTCCGGAAATTATCTTGCTTTTCCATTTCTACAGAATGCGCCCAAACAGCAGGGTGGCAATTTTTATAAGTGACTTATAGAAATTGTCATCTCAAGTAAGAAAAGCTTCCTACTAACTTCTCCCACCCTGGTATATTTTCAAACCAAGCTTTATTAGATATATGATTAATGATTCTGACTTTGACGAAATCAAAACTATTAAATATGGGGCTTTTGGGACATTGTAAATTACATTCAATTACATTACACAGGCCAATGATAATAAATACATTAAACAATATTCACCTACAACAACCAGGTCAATTTAATCAGCAATCAGGTCAATTAATATACACATCCAAGAAATACAAAAAATGCTAGATAGTGCCGACTGGTAGCCATCTCATAGCCCCGTTCTTAACCACATTGTAAAGAATATCTCTTCCCCATTGATCCCATTCCCTTGATACCTATGAGAATTCCTGGCACTGGACTCGGCAGAAACTTCAATAACAAAGAATTCAAATATATTTCACAAGCATGTAACTTGAAGACAACAAAGACAGCGGCACATTATGTTACAATATACTGCAACGAGAGAAAGAATATCCTTGATCAAATACCACAGTTACGCAAAGTAATTTTTAATATAATTACCTGTATGATCTGAATATCAATTTCTGTGAAAGCATAATTTCAATATCATTGTAGGTTTTGTACTGTAGTTATTTAATATATCTTTAAGACATAGTTTTTTAACTATGAAAAAAAGAAAATAAAAATCGCATTTAAATAAAAAAGTAACTGCATTAGTGATGGAATTGTTTTGTGTCATTTGTAATCACATTTTGAAAGGATTCTTACTGATGGCTTTGCAGATTTTTAACTCACGAATTTGTATCTATGTTGGACTAAAGACATGATTATTGTCATTATTCAGTCACAAGGCCTCGTGGGACTGGTTTCGCAAATTGATTTTAAACTGAATGTTGGCTTCAATCAAAAGACAAAAAAATTTAGTCTCATTCAATTGAGTGCAAATTATTTGAATGAAATACCACAAATCTATTCCATGTATTGTTGGTCAAATTAGACTTAAATGTTGGTCTAAGGTTCTTTCGAGAGATGGCCAATCGTGTACTATCACCATGGGGTTTGAGAACTCACTATGTTTAGTATTTGAATGCAGAACCGTTGCTGGCCCGCTTTTAAAGAATGGAATTGTTTGTTGTATACATTTAGAAAAAATTAAGTTTGGTTAATATATGTAATATACTCATTGAAAAAAGTAGCCCACGGGTGTGATTGTCAACTCTCAGAATTGGCACTACGTTTCGGGTCACTAAATTTAGTGTCTACGTACTTTTTACAAAATCTGTTTTTCCAAACGACATATCTTTTTGGATATAAAAAATTACATTGAATTAACCTTAGAGCAAGGCAAGACGACGAGAGACCTCCGATGACAGCTGAGCCCATGCCATCCACCTAATTCATCGCATGCTGTGATACCGTGCTGTACATAATTACCGTATCAGAGCTGAAATGGTTTCCTGCCAGATGCAATCACAATATCTTTAATTCAACTAATTATTACAAATTATATATCATGTTTGTCACGAATTCCAGGAATTGGTAAATTCCAGGGTTCTTAGTTTAATCGTGATAAAAATCCTTTAAGCTCGTTGCTGATTCTTATTTATTCTTAGTCAGTTCTTGCAATTATTGAGAGATTGTAAAACTGGAGCAAAAGTTTTGAGCTGTTCAAAATTTTGGTCTCAAACTCTCGAGCACAAAAAATGTCGATAAACTGTATTTAGGCTATTTGGAATCATAAGGAAATTAGCTCTAGGATGTGAGTGTCAGACTAACAATAGGCAGCCAAGCATGATAAACAATATATATATATGGAATTTATTTGACATACTGAATACTTTACATGGTCAATTTTTTATTAATAAGTGCAGAATATAATATCACACTTTGTAATTTACGTGTGCAGACCTTCTTGGAGTTTTTGGTATTTAGGTCATAATATTATTTTAAGGGATAACAACTCTGCGTATGAGATTCATATTTCACAATAAATACAGCGTAAACAACTAATATAATAATTTCTGTTTCATCACCAAAACGGAGGTAATCGCAATTATTCTTGAATTTCTGCTTGCTATCGGACCACGTGGCCTCCGCGAAGGGCTAGCCTTTGCAATAATCTCTCGGGTTTTTAGAGACAACACATTCGATTAAACAGAACTTTCCAATACTCCCAGACCACACCGATACATGTATGGACGTAATTATAATCAGTAGGTCTCCGTGACGAAATTTTCACGTTTTGACTTGCGTGCTTCAGAAATGCAATGGTTTCCTGTTACGCCTGGAAATGATTATTGTTGAGGTGTGATATTATCATCACACGCCTATCGGATTTACGTTGTGAGAGTCGCTCTGACGTGGGTAGAAGACTTTTGAACCACTTCTTTATTTCTTTATGTAAAGACACAGATATGTGTGCACATATAGCCTTCACCTGCGCCTGTTGTAGCCGTCTTCGCCTTTGTCGCCTACGGAGATAACAAGATAAGGGGCTCGGCCTATTGTTTTCAAACTTACAGAACTGATGATTATTCATAAGATAAAGGTCGAGTTCAAAAATCAGTTTGATCGGACCATTTTTCCAAATGTTATGCCTTTTTTGGCATATATTATACTATCTCCAATAAAAAAAAAAACATTTCAAGGAAAACCGAAAGATCTAACTTACAGGAGTCATCAGTGTTAGTAAAATGCAGTTCGACTTCGAAAATCAGCTCGATCAGACCGTTTTTTTTTTTTTTTTGAAGTTATGCTTTTTTTTCAGCATGTGTTATACAGTATGCAGTACATTAAACACACTTCATAGAAAATCGTTAAACCTTTTGTGTTCAGACAGGACTGGTGAATGTGAGAAGGATACAGGTTGAGACTGAACAAAAACAGCTTGATCGGATCATTTTTCAAATATCATGCTACCTATTTTGTTTTGTTTTTTTTTTTTTTTTTTTTGAAGCAAATATTACAGTTCATGCAATACAGACAGCATTATCATGGAAAACTGTTTAACTTATTGTCTTCAAACTTATAAGACCTAGGAATATAACTAAAATTTGAAAACCAACTTAATCGGATTAATTTTTATTTAAAGTTACGCATATTTGTGAAATGCTCATTTTTCACATCATGGCATTTTCAAGGTGTGACTTCGAACTTCTATGAGCCTGAAGGTCTTCGCTAGTCACATTTTCTGAATATATCCATGATACTTACATTATATTAAAATGAGGTGGTGATTATCATTATGTAATATTACTTCAAAGTAAACCCTCTTTTGGACATTTATGTCATAATGACCATTTAAGGAAAACCGTGTTACTTGTGATTATCAAACTTACAGAAAAGATTCAAAGGACTGTATTACAGCCTCGGTTGGGGAATCAGACTGATTGGATTCTTTTTTCAGGAAGTTATGCAGTTGTTTTGATAAAAAATCATTTTTACATATTGGCATTTTCAGGGTGTGACTTTGAACTCCCACGGGTATGAAGCCGTATGGTAGCAGATAATTAAAATTGGTCATTATGTAATATTCATCAGAATTGACAAAAAAAAAAAAAATGGATTTTGTGCACTGCCACCACAAACCACCCTGAGCTTCAGAGATAACTTGACACTAACCTCTTCACTATAGCCTATCTTCAAGTTATCTCTGAAGGTCAGGGTGCCACAAACGCCACAGTAGGAAAATTGTATTACCTATATTATTTAGTAACTTACAAGAATGTGTTCTATTGAAATAAAGGAACAGTTTTATGCACAAACACTACCATTAAGATAACTGATTTAGAAGTTGGTTTATTTTTATTGTAAATATTATAAAATATAATGGCTGTTTTAATTGGATCAAAATTCATTTCCTTACGAGCCTAGATAGATCTACTGGCTCTGTTGCATAAACCCAATGCACATATTGTGCATCTCTATACCGCGTGTTTGTCTTTAGTGTAGGAATATTTCCCATTATCATTTATAATTGTTTATTACCACCGCCAAGGAGGTTATGTTTTTGGTTCTTTCTGTCTGTCTGTCTGTCTGTCTGTCAGCCTGTCTGTTAGCAACATTACAGAAAAAGTTGTGGGCCGTTTTTGATGAAATTTTTAGGAACTGTCAGAAGTGGGCCAAGGAACAGATGATTAGTGTTTGGTGGTGATCCGGATCATTAAGCAATCAGTAATCAATAATCAAGAATGAAAAAACTAAATCATTATAGAATGTAAATTTAGGAGTGAAGCGGCATTGGATGGAGACTTTGCTGCGCTCTCGGAGTGCTTTTCTAGTTGTAATTGCAGATTACTAAAAAGGAGGAAACTCCAAGCAATGTTTTTCTTTTATATTTTTGCTTTGGAAATATTTGCTAAGATCTATACCACGATGGCTACCTATATTGAGATTACACGAAAACAAAAAGGAGACCACCCGCTATTCATTACACAATAAATTTTATTTACATTTGATTTTGCCGAATCAACATGTAAATCGGATTGAAACGATTTCCTGAAAGGCCAATTACTACCAACATCAGTCTGATGAAGGCCTTCGACCAGGTTGGCCGTAAACTAACGGTACGGAAATATTAAGGCTTGTGCCTGATGATTTTCATGTATGAATGTTGATCTACTAGCTGATGTTTCCCGCTTTTAATGACACCTGATTACAGCGGATCTTCGCGAATACCGGCGTCGTGGGCCGTTTATTAGGCTAAAGCTTGGCTAAATAGTGTAATTCCGTCTAAGCTATTATTTATTCCGTCTTAGAAGCTATTGTGTAATCCCGTCTGAGCTTCTGTGTTATTCCGTTTAAAATTTGACGGACTTGATATGGTTTTCCATTGTTTGCCCACCACCTTCTATTCACAAACTAGGGATTGAAATATTTTAAACGCTGTAAAATGGAATTTAACGGAAACTTACTTATGAACCCTACTGTAGACCGGAAACGACGTGCCCGCTTTTTATGAACCAAGTAAAATAATCTGTTTGATCGAGTCGTAAAAAAGCTCGACGGTAAAAATTCTGCAAGTGTACCTCGTTCGGTAATTCTATTTCAAGTTACCGAAATTTTATTTTTAAAAAGTTGCTATTGGAATTTTTCATCCTTGGTATTCAGTTATTTATCTGACTAAAATTTCTTTATAGAAATTGTATTTTCAAAATATAAGTATAGGTAACAGATTGATGAAATTGAAGTAGTTTTGTTCACACCGGAAAATTTTATTAAGTCAAAACGAAAACACTATAATATTATGAGAAAACGTGTACTTGTGCTCAGTGCAACACGATACCAAAATGACACCTTATTTCCACAACGCTGCTGACCTTTTATTATATACACAAGAGCATAATGCAGAACAACGTGATATAATAATAATAATAATTTTTTTTTTTACTTAGATATCTGGTTTAATCACACAGCAAATACCCGGATATCTGTTCTATTCTATGCCAATTACTGCAGATTATATTTTGTAGACTTTTTGTCTGCTCACAGTGCAGAGAATTATCATCAATTTAACCTGAGACGTATCTCTGAATATCTAGTGAAAATCAATCGATGGCGCTGGCAGAGGGAACCAATTAAATTACAAAATGAATTATTGTCTTTGACTATTCACTGAAACACGATGACAGTGGCTTCGTGCTAAATGCGGAACTTCAGACATTACACTTGCTAAAGTCTGAAGTTGTAAAGAAAAGCCGACTCCTTTGTTGGGTAATCAATACCACAAGCTCCATTTGCTACATGTTAATTTATAATTTTCACTGATTTAGAATGTGGCCGCTAAACATGAAACCAACTAACCTTAAGCGCCCCTTAACATAGAAAACAACATTATCAAAGAACAAATATAATATAATATAATATAATATAATATAATATAATATAATACATAATTAATATAATGACAATAATAATTACCTCAGCCACGATGTCTGCCACGACATAAAAGTCCATTTTAAGTTTTAGGCATATTTTGACCGGATTTTTTAACGTTCAGATTTTTTCTATGCCAAATTATGATCACACTTTTTTTGATAGTCTGCATGATGTCAATAATTTCTTGGTAAAGTTCCCTTGTGAAATTTCAAAAACAGGTAAGCAACTTCTTGATGGATTTTCTAAATTGCTGCGATTTCCACAAATAAACGAAAGGATTTAGAACACAGTGAAAGTACGTGAGTGAAGTTACAATCGGATAGAGGTAACCACTCCCTGATCCGACCAAAAATCCTATCACAAAGGACGGGATGTAGCAAACGAAGAAAGCCAAAGTTAGTATAAATGCAGTTTGTAGTGTCAGAATGTCTGCCTTGTATGCACCCTGGGTTGTTACTGTGGCTTGGGTTTCAGGTGCTTCATTTTCAATCTGCGGACCAGCTTCATTTTCGATCTGCAGACCAGCTTCACTTTGGTTCTGAGGAACAACAATGTTGGTAGGACGAGATCGCAACGCAAAAAACATACGCACATATGAAACGGTTGTGACCAGGAAACTGACTAGAGCAATGCATGGGATTGAAATCCACCAGTATTCGCTGACTGCTTTGCCTCGCTCTCTGGCGAAGACAACGAATGCCTTCTCATATGCCTCTTTCGTGTGCATCATGTGCATCAGACGACACGACCAGGTAACGTTGGGGGAGCCCTGCATCAGTGCGGTCACTACTATGCAAACAGTAGCCTGTGCACCTATCACGAAGATAACGGTTTTGATCGTCATGCTCCTATACTTCAAGGGCTTCAACACGGCCAGCAACCTAGTGACAGCGATCACCCCCATGGAAAGAAGGGAGTAGGCAATGGAGGAGGTGGCCACGGTGATTTTGACAGTGCATATTTCCGGCGCCAATCCATTGGTGCTGAGTTGCTGTATTGAGTGAATCGGGGCTGCGATGATGGATATCAGACAGTCCGCCACCGACAGTGCCACCACGTAGCAGTTGAATGGTGTTCTGAGTGACCGATCCTTGTAGATACACAGAAACACACAAACATGCCCTGCTGTCATGAAGGTTATGAAGATACTCAAAAAAGTGGAGGTGAAATGCAAAAATCGCTGCGTTACACTGGATGGAAAGTCAATTTCGAAACCATGTAACAAACTTGCGTTTACAGCGCTTGTGTTGTTCATCTTGGATCCCCTGGCTGATATCGCTAACAACTTTGAGCAAATGAAACGTTACGCCCATTTATATATAAATATATACAGGCTTATATACACCGTTGCTCAAAATGGTTGTCACACCTAATAATTTTTTTTTTTTTATTTTGTTACAAATATCAACTTTTCTTTATTGTACAGTTGTATCGTTGCAGCCACCAAATGTTTAATCACTAGACATGCAAAAGAAACAAAAAGCATGGGTATATTGCACATTTCCTCCGGGATAAAAAAAGTGTTTTAATACGTCCCCTCAAAATAAGCTTTTTGGAACACAGATTCTATTAAAACAATTATTTTTCTCCATGGAAAATTATAATCAATGTTAAAATTCCAAGCACATTTCTGTATTAAGACTGCTGTAGTTTGGTGGGGGTCATTCTCATCTATCCCAACGATCGACTTTATATCAAGGCAAAAGCACCACTTTTTATAGCCAAGCCAGCAACATCTATTCACGTACCCTTAACACTCATTTCCACATATCGGACTAATCAGTGATTACTGTGGGGAAAAGCAGCAAAAATATAAACTTACGTAGAGCTTTTAAAGCCTATAAGATTGTTAAAAACCCAGATCTTTGAGGGTATGACAACCATTTTAAGTAACCCTGTATCTGTATCTAAATATATACCGACAGTGTGTTGAACCTGGTCACGATGATGCTGGTAATTGAACGAATATGAAGGGTTTCGATGTCGAAAACACACCCGGAGATTAACGTCACTGCCGACACAGACAACGGAATTTTTTCAACTCTCTTGAACTTGTTACTAACATAGCATGCATAGACTAGTTGTGTAAGCGTCTCCAACTCACGTAAAGACCTTTCTTCTTAAGCTTCTTTGGTGGATTTGTCCATCTTATCTTTTCTGCTGCTTTTAACCAAACGTTGTGTCATTTTCATTTCAATCCCATCATACAAATCTAATTTAAATGTTACAGCATTAAGTAAATGAAATTATGGCACGTCATTAAAGGGATAGCAACTGTTAGTATGAGATTCATATTTCAAAATAAATGCATTGTAAACAACTCGTAGAAATATAATTGATTCGATTTCACCACCAAAACAGCGGTTGTCTCAATTATTCTGGAATCTGTGCTTGCCATTAGACCACGTGGACCTTCGTAGATAGCTATACGTACCTCTGTAATAATCTCATAAGAAATTATTACAACAACAACAACAACAAAATAAATAAAGAAAGAAAGAAAGAAAGAAAAAATATTAGATTACGCCAGGAAAATCTGTTTTTGGTCAAAATAAACAGTTCTAATCGCTTTAATAATTGTCCGTACTGTACATGTACATGTATATATGCTATAACGCCAATCGGATTATTTTAATTATTCTTGACTAAGCCGGCTTTCTTCTCAACATTCCCGCCAGTTACTGCATCCTGTTTTGTTAGTTTGGAAAGAAAATTTTTCATGGTCTAAAGGAAAGAATGTTTCAATGAAAAAAATGAAAAAAAATTGCAATAAATAAATAAATAAATAAATAAATAAATAAATAAATAAATAAATATTCAAAAAGAGAAACGGTGGTGTAAGGGCAGGCTTCGACTTTTAAAAGGTTGCACTGTAAGAAATGTGTATATAAACAAGATATTGCAGCTCACAACACTTCCAGTAACCCTTAAAGCAAGCACTTATATTTCTTTGCAAATTTTGAAAAAAAAAAACTTGCCATCATTTAGCAAATAAATGTTCCAATTGTCTTAATCTCACATTTATTATGATGGTTCGTCCAATTTGGCTTCGATCAGAGTTCAATCAACGAATAAAACCAGGTATTTAGGGGAGACCGGGGCTAGTTGGCCCAGTTAGACACTTTTGGCCTTGTAGAGCCAACTAGGAGTGGGTTAGAGTAACAAAACCGGTTTCAAAGTAAGCCCCATGAACTAAGCTACGTATGCAACGTCATTATTTTTCAAATATAATACTAGGTGGCTCACAATTTGACAAAAAACGCAGTTGACGTTAGGGGGGCCAACTTGCCCCGCCATGGGGCAAGTTGGCCCCAGGGTCGGGGCAAGTTGGCCCCCCTATACTAAAATGAAGTTTNTGGCTCACAATTTGACAAAAAACGCAGTTGACGTCAGGGGGTCCAACTTGCCCCGCCATGGGGTAAGTTGGCCCCAGGGTCGGGGCAAGTTGGCCCCCCTATATGAAAATGAAGTATATATCCCATGTAAACACCTTGAAATACATTTTTATAAATTTTAAATTTATTTAATTGATTTTTGAGAGTCTTTGATGAACAAACAGTTCAAATGAGGCAGATTTATTGAGGTTTCCGTACGTCACGTGGTTGGGGGGGGGGGTATGTGTTGCAAGAACCAAAATATCTATCAATAAAATGGGTTTTGTTTTCATTAAGAATAAATAAATAATGGTATAAAGAAGGTTTTTAATGAATGAAAATGAATAATAAATTTTCTTTTTAAAAGACAGTAACAAATTCAGTTTTAAACCATTGAGTTTGTTTCAACAATGGTCTCTAGCTAGGGAGGGGTGGAAAATCCCCTTGGGAACATATAACACTATAAATACAAAGGGAATCCCCTTACAATTAATTAAGGCAAAATAAATGTTTTTCTACGGAAAGTCCAATGGATTTGCTTTTTAATACTTACAAGCAACAGAATATTTCTAATATAAATTTTCAAAAAGACACCAGAGAGAAAATTAAAAAAATCAATCAGATGGTAATAGACACCGGCAAGCTTTGTCAATTTCACCAACTTGTTTATTTCAAACAGCGTTGCGCGCAAAGGTTTGTGGGTAATATGAGGGTCCAACTTGCCCCGAGTCAAGGGGGCCAACTAGCCCCAGGTGCACATTTTTTATTTTAAATAATGTGCACTTTATTTATTTTAAAGGATGGTAGCCATTTATGGTGCTAGAATGAGCAACGATGATACATCTCTGTGAAACTTGAAACAATGAGCTTCAGTTTGATGCCCTATACATATCTTATATTCGATGAAAAGCCTATGAAAATAGATTTTTAAATCTCTTAAACAAAATTTCTTTTAGGTGCAAAAATCGTTTATTTCGACTCACCAATTAAAGGTGCATACAAAGTCAATTTTTTGTCACAAAAACCAACCAAATGCCAGCATATAGTTTCAAGTAGAATAACTAAGAGAATAACCAAAGGGCATTGTTTAATTTTACCCGAAAATGATGTTTGAACGGATTTTTCTGCTGGCATTCTAAGCTGTATGTCAATGGGGCAGGAAAGTAGGTCACGAAAGTAGGTTAAATTTACAACCAAAAATTTAAAGAAAGGAGCAGTCTAAAGGTCTTTTATGGCTGATCGAGTGATCTATTCAGTTTATCCCTTGGCGTGTCGAATTTATTTAAGTCATATAAGAATCTAGTAGAAGTGGTTTACATGTGTTACTGGGAATCCACGCTCCACCGATGCTCGGTTCGTATGTACCTTTAAGTAAAACTTTTAAACGTCCGACACTTCCTTAGCATTGTAGGCTACGGTCACTTTGCAAGAGTATGTGACCAATTTTTTTTACCTCATAGATACTTTTTCATAAATTGACGGGGGGCCAACTTACCCTGGGGTCCAACTAGCCCCGGTCTCCCCTATGCTATTGGTACAGTGTTATGGTTTGGGCAGGCATAAGTGGAAATTTCCAGACAGAAATCATGGCAATTGTGCCATTCTTGCATCAATATTAAATATCTTACCCTACTCTTGCTCCAGCAGGCTACCTCCGTCAGAGTTTGATCACTGCACTGGCGGAAGCAGTAAAACCAAAGACATAAAAACTTTTTTTTTTTTTGCTAGTGTATTTATTGTATTTTAAATATTTGTATTTTTTTGGGGTTCATTACGTAAAATGCTAGATGCAATTTGCTTCCTTTTCTTTGTATTAACCCAGATTTTACTAATAAAACATAAACTAAGCTAGATGAATCCTTACCCTAAACGTACCTTCGGTGGAACTGAACAATTGCAATTTAGCTAGGATTCAAATCATATCATAACTCTGATTTTTTTTGAGAGCATTCACCAGACTATCGAGATTCCTTTACTCAACACTGTGCAAATAATAACATTTCTCCAAAAGTACAACTTCCACATACCTAGTACACATGCAACACTTTCCTCTATTTTATTGGTGTTTTTTTTAACCATGCATGATGTAATGTATAAAGATAGTTGAGGACGAAATTTATTTTTGCAAACACAGGGATGTAAGAATACAAAATTTTCATTTTGACAAAACTGCACATTGAAAAAAAAAAATTAAATTTAAATCATATTTTATGTTCAGAGGAATGGTATCATCACATAACACTCTCAGTTACCCAAATTGTAGAGTCCAAATACCAGTGTTGAATTTGGTTTCGAAAAACACATGTAAATAAACCATTTGTGAATGCATGTAATTTGATGCAAACAAACACAATGGGAGTTTTGGATTATAGAGCAAATCATTCATCTATCCATGTACTTTTGAATACAGTAAAACATTCCTCTCCCAATGTGTCTGTCCAAGGCTCTTCACAAAATGCAATTTACAGTCATTTATCAAATAACGTTGGATTTCATCTTCAACATTATCTCTCCAAGTAAGAGACTTAAAATGTTCAAATTCAGGACAATTCAATTTTTTAACCCGTCTTACTGCTGACTTGTAGCATTTCCATGGCTGAGGCTCCAACACAAGATTTTCAGTTATTCCAGATAAAATAGTCAAAAACTTTTTCAGTCCCTCATCTCCGTTATTCAAATGAATCCATAAGGTGACAGAAAAACAAAAAACAATGTCAAATCTTTCTTTACCAATTTTGTTTAAAAATGTTTGTAAACTATATTTTCTTGAAGTGTCATCTAAAATATCTAAAACATTGAACTGAATATTCTTCGGATAATGATTGGCCTCCTTTGCACGCTTTATTAGACATTCATCAATGTCAACTCCAAGAATGTGAAGATTGTCAGATAGCATATTTTGCTGACTATTACTGATTCCTTCAGTGAGGTGTTCATACATTCTCAATGTCAAATCCTGAAAATATAGAAATGTTCTTTTAAAGTAACACATAAAGTGAGTGTGGATTAATAGTAGCACATACAATTCCAATAGCTTCTTATACAGTAAATATTTTAAGTACTACTAAATTTAAGTCGAATTGCTAAGCCGCACACCAAATTAATCTTTTGTTCTGTCCAAAAATATCTTAAAACTGCATCCTTTTGATTGTAAATTTTGGTCATAAACTCAACTGTCCCTCTAATGACGTAGTACTGCATGCACATTGTATAATCATCACTCTAACTTCCATGTACTGGGTTATGGTTGTATAGCTGCATATGCAATTGCATACTTATTCAAATGAAACAGCAGCGAGAAAGAGAGAGAGAAAGAGAGAGAGAGAGAGAGAGAGAGCACAGAAATGAAACAGAAAATATCCATTCAAATATACTTTTTAGGGAATACACTAGTGGGCTGGATATGGTCTTAAAGTACAATTTAAGATAACTAGAGATCTTACATGATCTTAATCGTTACAGCAGTAGTCTTAAAATGGACTGAATCTGCTTTTAAGTTCAAAAATGATCTAACATCTACTTAAGTGGTCAAGCAGTTTCCTCCCCTCACAATGGGGGACACCTCCCCTCACAATAGAGGACACCTCTGCTCACAATAGGAGAATGTGTAAGGGGAGACAACTTAATTGGCTGTTAGACTAGAAATGGTCTTACTCATGGTTTAAGATCATGTAAGACAATCTGTGATCTTAAATTGCACGGCCTCCAAGTATTGTACCACCAGCTGGAGCAAGTACATTCGGAGGAAAAAAAAAAAAGGGAGGGGGGTACATGGAAGTGTTGTACTTGACAAGCTCTACAAAATGCAGTTAACGATAGTTCTCAATTTTTTTTTCTTTTTTGTTTATAACAAAATCATGGGGAAAAGTAAAAGGTCAAATCCAAATTTGTGAAGTGCAGTTCATGGCGAAAAGGAGGTCAATTTCAAGGTCACAGGAAGACTCAATATATGAGTTCCTATTCAAGTTCAGTAGTATTAGGGTAGGGTAAATAATAACTTTTTTTGGAAATCTCTCAAGGAACAAGTGATTTTCGAGGCAAAATGGGTAAAAAAGTTCATTTCTGATGAGAAATTTGAGCTAATTTCACTATTTTTTAAAATGCCTACAAAGCATGTGTACTACATATAGAGCAACTGTAGTAACTATATGCATGTGTATACCTATATTGAATAGGGTTGGGTAAAGCACAAATTTTTGATAAGTAAGTGTTTTCTATGTCAGAAAATGATTTTTTTTACAACAGCCATTAAGGTAGGTAAAATAACAATTTTCAAAATGGCAGAAAAACACCCTAACAAGAGTTGCAACATCACCATTTAAACGTCCCTTAGTTTGTAATGTGCCTTTTCTTCTGTTTTTAAGGTAATTAAATATTTTCCTTATGTTAACACTGCCATTCTGACATTTTAAATGGAGTTTGGTTAACTTGTTGGTTGATAGTTTATTGTCAAGCTTGATGGAAGAGCCAGGTCTCAGTTAGTTAAAGCAAGGAGTGATAAGATATCTCAAGTTCTGCATGTGAATAATAAGGTAGAATCAGAATTATCCTACAAGTAACCTCAAGCAACAAAAGGGTGTATGTCTTTAAATTATTAAAAAGATATAGATGGAATATGTTTGCTCTGCACAAAAGAACCTGGAGACGCAATCGCTATCACCAACTGAGACCAGCAAAGAAGTTACCAAGGAAAAATCTAATGTCTGGATGTTCACGAGTATCTTTCCTTTCTTTGAGAACATTTCCAACAGAATAACTGCATATTGGGGCTATATATAAAAAGCATTGTACTTATATATGATGAATTTTATATCATAAACACTCTTTGTCAAGTTTTGATTGAACTCTTTCACTTTCATATATCATCACTTTTAATCCTTGCACTTAACAGACAGTTAATGCTTCGTTACATGTAGTTCCCCAAATATATTATAATCTAGCATACATCTGTTGGGAATGTTCTTCTCAAAGATAGGAAAAACACTTCTGGAGACTTCCTTGGCAACTTCTGTGCTGGCCTCAGCTTATGACATTGATTTATTCCGCCTTCATACATGTGAAACAAAGGAGTATTATCCATCCTATTGTAATAATTCTAAAATATTCACTTTTTGGTAAGGATAATCGTTTCTTCATTATAATTCCCATCCAACAGATGTTGGGGAATTGGGAAATCTTATCACTCCTCATTTTGATTGATCTAGATGACTGAGATGATTCATTGTCCCCATTATCAAAGATTCTGGCTCTTCAGTCTAGCTTGACAGTTAACTGTCAGTTCACATGGTAAATGAACTCACTGTAAAATGTTCCAATCTCAGCATTAACATCAGAAATGGACTCTACCAACCCTAAAACATTCACCACTTTACAGATACTTACAAAAGCGCTGCGCGCATGCGTGAGAATTGCATTGTGGGAAAAAATAGAGCAAAACAAAAACAGCGAGTATCCGAATAATGGGGAATAACCTCGACGATCACACACTCTGGTCCATGATTGTAAAATTAGCGGGAAATTACCTTTCTCGATACCTTCTATCATTTCTGCAACTTGAAACACAGCAGGTAGTCATTATTTTGTGTTCAAGAGCCTTCGCGCCATGAGTTCACGCTCTTTCCCCCTCCCAAAATGCAGTTCGAGTTTCCTGTCGACGTACAACTGTAAAGTGATGAATAGGAAAAGACTTATGACACACTATAGTGCCTTTAATTGTTGTTGATGAAACTCTAGGTAGGCCGTTTTGGCTGCCATTTTGAAAATTGTCATTTTACCGACCTTAATATTTGTTGTGTTCAGCATCAAATTTCACCTCAGAAAAACACCTGTTATGGAAAATTTTTGAGATTTACTCTACCCTAGTAGTATCAATGGGCATATCTGTGTTTTGGAGATATAAGGGACAGAAAATGTGCAAAGATCAGTGCATGGCAAAGAAAGGCAAAAAGTCAATTTCAAGGTCACACTTAGATTGCCAGTGTCACTTCTTATTCAAGTTTAATAGTAACTAAGGGCATATCTCTACCAGTTTTGAAGAAATAAGGGACGAAAAAGTTGTCCAATTAAGTTCATGGTGAAAAGTAGGTCAAAGGGTAATATCAAGGTCACAGTTACATTGCCAGTATATGACTTTCTATTCAAGTTCAATAGTTACTATGAGCACATCAGTCAGTTTTGGAGATATAAAAGATAGAAAAGTTGCAAAGTTCAGTTCATGGTGAAACGTAGGTCAAAAGTCAATTTGAAGGTCACATTTAAAATGCCATTATATATCTTTCTATTCAAGTTCAAAAGTAACTATGGGGGTATCTCTGCCAGTTTGTGAGTATAAGGGACGGAAAAGTTGCAAAGTTCAGCTCATGGTGAAAAGTAGGCCAAAGGGCAATAACAAGGTCAGCTATATTGCCAGTACATGACTTCCTATTCAAGTTCAATAATAACTATGGCCCTATCTCTGCCAGTTTTGGAGATATAAGAGATAAAAAATTTCATGGTGAAAAGTAGGCCAAAGGTCAATTTTAAAATCACAGTTAGATTGCCAGTATATATCTTCCAACTCAAGTTCAATAGTAACTATGGCCCCATCTCTGCCAGTTTTGGAGATATAAGGGACAGAAAAATTGCAAAGTTCAGTTCATGGTGAAAAGTAGGCCACAGGTCAATTTCAAGGTCACAGTTAGATTGCCATTATACGATTTCCTAATCAAATTCAATATTAACTACGGTATGGCCGTTTCTGTGCCAGTGACATGGTTTTGCTTCAATGGTCACTATGGAGGCAGTGCCAAAAACAGGGTTTTCTTCAATTTTGATGCAATATTACATAATGCTTAACAGCATAACGACCATCAATTTGTAATAATAAATCAAAAGTATCACGGAAATTCAGAAAATGTGACTAGCAAGTCTTCAAGGCCATGGAAGCTCAGAGTCAAACCTTGAAAATGCCAAAATGTAAAGAAGAGATAACTGTATTGAAATGAGTTTATTTCTATTTTCAACACCTTTTTTACATAAAACAAAATAATCAATTTACTGTCATTTTTATGTGATCAACTAAGAAATTGATGACATAGGAAAAATATCAATAGAACAATTTTAAATGTCCAATTTGCTCCATTCTGAGATTCTGACGGAGTGAATGAATGAATCTGACAAACTGCAATGACCTGAGTTTATTTTCATTTTTGACACTTTATTTCACAATACACGATAACAGGTTTACCATCATTTTCATATAATCATGTAACAACATCAGAAAGATGCAGAAAATGTTAAAAGAACACTTTAATGTTTCTAATTAGTTCAATAATGAGACTGTTAACATGCCTAAGAATTTAATCTGAGGAAAAACCACTTATACACAAAAAAGGCATAATTTCATCAAAACTTAACCAATCAAGCTTATTTTCAAACTTGATCCATATATTAGTAAGATTGATCACCCCTGTAGGTTTTAAGACAAAAGGCTAATGGGTTTTTCTTGAAATGTGTTATCAGTGTTGCATATTGGTGAAAAAAGCAAAAATAAATAAATAAATAAATAAATAAAATAAAATAAAAAGCATAACTTTTGAAAAAATGGCCTGATCATGCCGATTTTCGAACTTGACCAGCATTTTATGAATATTCATCAGTTCCGTAAGTTTTAAGCAAAAAGGTAAAATGGTTTTCCACTTATCATGTTATTGGTGAAAATGCACGATGGCGACGACGGCAACAGCGACAACAGGCACTGGTGATGGCTATATTAACAGAATCATCGGAGTCTGTACATAAAAATAATAAAATAAAGGACAAAACTAATTTACCTGAATTAGTAGAGACACTGATCAAAATCACTGAATTTAGAACAAAACATCGAAGTACTTACATGTCCGCCATTATTATTATTATTATTATTGTTATTATTATTATTATATGTTTCCGGGGCAATTTTCAACTTCTACCAGGCAAAAATATATGTAGTACGAGCAAGAGCACCAACTTACTCCAGCGTTACATCCTACATCCAAGGCTGCGACAGAATTAAGCTCTTTTACACTTGGCATATGGAAAAGAAAGTCTGTTGGAATAAATTTTAGTCTATTTTCTGGTGGATTAAAAGAATAATAATTAATGAAATTTCCAAACACAGCTGCGCCAGGTTCAAACTTCTTTGTAGTTGTAGCATTCATTATGGTGTGACCTAATAAAGTTGTGCAAATCAGTGTGCAAATGCAATATTGTAAGAAGCTTCCCAAGACAAGCCGATGTATTCATCAACATTTGCAATCACGAGCGCATATGTTAGTCACTTTAGTAGTCAATTTAAAGGGATAATAATTCTTCGTAAGAGATCTATGATTCACAATAAAAACATTGTGAACAACTAATAGAAATATAATATGTTGTGTTGTACTACAAAAACGCACCCTGAGCTTCAGAGATAACTTGACACTAACCTCTTCACAATAGCCTATCTTCATCGTGTCAAGTTACCTCTGACCACATTCGATTGCCCCCGCCGCCCGCCAATCAAATTTAAAGCCCGCACTCAATGACTTATTGAACGATCTAGCCAATGAACGCGAACGAGTCAAAGCGCGCTTTGTTCAAATCCGGACCAATCAAAGATAAGGCTGAATATCAGGGACTTGCCGTAACCTGTGGGCAGCACGCAAAATACATCATCCCTCAGTAGATAATGATGCAGGGC